TATATTAAGCCCCGTTTGACCCCATTACCTAAAAGTGAAAATGGGGGAATAATATTTTTTAGAAAAATGAGTAGTTAAAAAAGAAGGAAAAATTTTCGATTTACGTGTAATATTATTTTATGGAATATTGTGTGGTTGAAAATAGGAAAGAGAAAAATTGAATGTAATGTAATTGAATTTAATGGGGATCAAAGAGGGGCTAAGTAAACCTTGCATAAATTGCCAGACTAATGGTAACGCAGGAGTTTGACAAAAAAATTTATATCCCAATTAAAGTTAGTTATTATGGATATATAGTCCAATTAACCTTATAAGACATTATATAATTGTTTATTATAAATTATAATATGGTAACTTATCACTTTATGTAAATTGATGCAACTTATTTATCCCAAAAAAAAAAAAAAAGACATTACCATTATTATATTAAGTAGATTTTAATTAATTTGATTTAACAAGAAATCTGGGCAAGTTAATAGGGTCAATTGACGGGATTTTTGGTTGCATAATTATCCTTTTATACTTTTCACAAGATTAGCAGTCAAAACTTTTCTTTATACACTCCCCTTACAAATAAATTCACTCTTTTATGCTCCAATAGTTATGACATAAAACCAGTCTATTCCATCTTCAATTAATCTTCCATGGCCTTTTTGAGTCCCCATCCCAGAAGTGCCAGTTTCATCCAAGACAGGTTTAAAACTACTCAAGAAGGTATTAAGTTTTATTTTATGCCATCATTTTGAGAACCAAACACTGTAGGTAAATGATGTAAAACCCACTGCATATTAATTTAATAACATCAAATTTCTTTATGCACTTGCGCGTTTTTGTATATATTGTGTGTACATGAATGTCTCTATATAAATATGATATATGTAAGTATATGTCGCATGAACACATGGATGTATCTATATGCAGATTTATATATTGTGTGTGTACATATATATGTTGTATGTATTACTATGTACCTATATAGGCGTGTGGATGAAGGAATGTACATATATTTTATGTATTATATATATGTGTACTATATATGTATATGTACTTGTACTAGCATGTAGTTGAATAAAATTTTTAGGAGAAGATAATGTTATTTAATAGTTTTCTCTACAAGGATTTTATTATTTTAAATGGCTATGGAGCTATTTTTGTAATGGCTATTGAAGCAACATGTACCATATTTTTAAAAGTTGATTTAACTTCAAGTTGTACGAGCTTTCACACATTTAATTACACATAAAATTTTAGGACACTAATAAATTGAAATAGAGCATTACTATGAATTCCTATTTAAGAAATATTTGTTGTCAAGTTTTTTTTTTTTTTTTTTAATAAACGGTAATGAATTAGGATTTTGGCACGTTGGGGTTGCCACCGGATCTATCTTAAATCCGCAAGACACGTCAACAGCGAAAGGGTTTTGGAAACGTGAATTCCTTATTTTCTCCCAACAACTCTATTATCAATTAAGGTATGATACTTTATGTGCAAGTGATATGTCCTTTCAATATTATGATTTTTGACATGATTTATTTCATGAAATGCTAATTGACCTGCAGGTCCCTATGAAATGAAATGAAATGTGAGATCTCTTTCGAGTCTTCTCAAATATGTTAGAGCATTCGATTGATCACCGATTGTTCTTGACGAAATGATGGTATGGAATGTTATGAATTCATGTTTTAAAAGTTATTATATTGTTTTGGACGCACATATCCTATTGAGTATAATCACTCACTCCTTCAAATTTTAATATTTCAGGTCAGTATGGTCGACGTGGATGGTAGTGAGCGGTGTGCGGGTTGCCAAATAAAATCTTTAGGAAAATGTTCACGAATAAAATTTGTTAAGAGTAATTGGTGTGTTTTCTTTGTTTCTATTTAATGTTCTAAAGTTTATGACACTATATTTATTTTATTTAGTATTTAAGAGTTCAAATAAATGTAAGGGTTTTAAATTTTCAATTAAATATTTCCGCATTAAATATGTTTATGGAATAATATCGATAACGCCCAAAATTTGAGTCAATAAAATTTGGGGCGTTACACCATGTATGCAGCTTACCGTATATACAGCTTATCGTATATACTGTCTACCGTATTTGCAGCCTATCATATTTGCAAACAACTTACCATATTTATACCTTATCGTATAGCTGCCTACCGTATTTGCAAACAACTTACCGTATTTTCACCTTATCGTATTTGCAACTTACCGTATATATTGCCTACCGTATTTGCAACTTACCGTATTTGTAGCTTACTGTATTTTTATATACCGATTTTTGCACTTACAAACACCGAGAATGCAGAACATCGTATATTCACTTACCAAATCGAATTTCAAAAAAAATTTCAGATTTTTATTTTTTCAACATAAACATAAAATAAATATTAAATATATATGAAGCACAAAATATAAATGCATATAAATATGGTGCTCAATCTTCAATTTTTCAATATTGAATTACGCAAAATTTAGAAATATAATCTTCACATTCAACTCAATCATATCAACACTATCAAAGAATACAAACAAAATAATTTGTATAATCTCGTATATTTCTTATTCAAGTATAAAATATACAAGTATATATTTTTCTAGATGACACAATACTGTTATACAATTATAAAAATAATTTACAATTATTTTCTTATATCATGAAAATATTTCTAGATATTGTTCCAAAAAATTTCCAAAAAAATAAAATTATATACTAATAAAAATATGATAAATGCAAAATTCGTGCAATGCATGTGACTGTCATTGTGCGGAGAGATTTTTTTTTTAACTTCGCACTGTAGGGAGAGTTTGCCAACTCTTCGCACTGTGCGAAGTTTTTTTTACTCCGTACTGTACAGAGAGTCTGCACTTTGTAAAGACGGTATCCGCACAAAATGTCATCTCTTTGCACTGTGCAGAGAGTTTTGCCATGGTGTTTTCCATCTCTACGCACAGTGACTATCACGTGGTTTGATGTGTGGAAACTCTTCGCACATGGTTTGTCATCTTTCCGCACTGTGCGAAGAGTTTATTATTATTTTTTTTTAAACTCATGTGCGAAGAGTTTTTTTTTTTTTTTTTTTTGCTCATAATAGTTTATATTTACTAAAATTATTATTATTTTTCTAATGCTAGTGACATGATGTGTAGAAAAACATTTGTTTGCCATAATTATTTTTTTAATGCTAGTGACATGATGTGCGAAAGAACGTTTATTTGACATAAACAAAATAGAAAATAAAAAAGACATTATGCATAATAAAATTGGATTAAGTTACTATTGCATCAATAATAGACCCTCATTCCCTTTTTTATTAGAAGTTAGATACACGAATGTTAATAAAGATAATCTACAGATGATAGAGTTTTGTTTTTCTATTGAAAAAGTGAATAGTAGGTGTCAATAATTATATGATTCACTAATTTTTAAAGTTGTTTTACCCTAATTCATTTATTAAATGTTTATTCAAAAATATTCATTTTCTTCAAATTTGTATGAATGATGTCAAGAATGTATAAACTGTATAAAATAATAAATTAATTTACACGTTATTTGGAAAAAATAACAAATATATAGACACTTAAATAATGCACCATATTAGATTAAAACGAATGAGTAAGGAAGATAGAAATTGACAACATTGGATTAAAATAAAGCTATGGTGTCTTGTTATAATATGACATAATTGGATGCTACATCATATTGGAAAGAAGTGCAACTATAGAATAATGAAAAAAAGAAAAAGATAATTTTATATTTATGTAATTTTTCTTACTTATATGTGAATTTACTCATTTTTTTCTCCTTATAAGTGACTTCTTACTTAGATATTTTACTAATAAGTGTTTATTTATTTTTACTGAATATTTTAACTAACAAGTGCATACTTGTTACATATAAGTGATTTTTTTACTTACAAGTAATTTTTTCTCTAAATATTTTTGCATATAAGTGAATTTTTTTCTAAGTAAATTTTTATTTATGAGCTGTAGCAGCTGTGAATTCCACCAAAGATAAAATACGACTAAACACTATAGAAACGAACACAAAAAATAAAAAATACAAAGATTAGTTTGAATATACATAAAATTAAATTCTCAAATTATGAAAATTCTACAACAAAAACTGAGTACTTCCCATAGCAAATAACATCAAACGAACCAACATACCTGAGGTCAGTACACTTGAATGCATGTAAAAGTGAAAAAAAAAAATGTAGAAGAAAATTAAAATTTAAATGCATGCCTGGTGGAAAAAAAAATTAAAAATAAAAGAAGAATATATTGTAGATCATCGAACTCCGGTAGAATTGAAGCTGAAGAATATAAAAGGTATTGAACAAGACGAGGAATAAAAAGCTTTTGATCTGTTTTCGAGTAGTAAAGATAAAGAATGCAGAAGAAAATGGAAAAGCAAAGTACACTAATTTTTACACCATATTACCATCAACAATAATATGCTAAAACATCCCACTTCACAACACAAAATAGGCCCTACACGTAGAAAAATTGGAAAGCAATTACATGAGGGATGAAAACTTGATTTACTTGAAAATTGAAAAGATCATTATGCACTCGTTCAAATAATCAATTTATCACAATTGCCCTCAAATTTATAGGTTGACATATTTTCTTAATTGTTCAAGTTAGGGGCAAGATGGAAATTATTACTAAAGCAATGAAGTCAATATGAAAAAGCTGAAGCATCCACTTGTTTTTGCCTTCCCGATGATGGATGATGATATATAATATAATAATATATATACACACACGTCAATTCAACTCTATTTATATTTCAATTTAACCTATTTATTATATTACACACATAAAAAGGAGAACTCTTTGAAAACCCAATGAGTGCGAACCCGTGCCACAAATGAACAGTACTCCCCTCATCCTCTCTTTTATGTAGGGGCACGAATATACAATATCTCATAAGTAAATTCTGGTACTTAGTGACACATCGTCGTCCAAATCAGAATAATCTTGTTTTCAAACCTCCACTGTTCGACCAGTAGAAGTGGAAGTGCAATCTGTCGAATGGTCGTAAAAGCAGCCAACCAAGAGAACAAGTTTGCAACGCAAGAAAGACAGATTCATAAAATAAATAAATGCCAAAATATGTACTGAACACAGAAAATTTCAACAAATTTACTCGTGGCTTCAACTTAGACCAGTAATGTTACTATTGCCAAAATCTTCCTCACTTGACATCCTGCAACTCTGGTTCATCAGAAGATGGATTGACACTTTCCAATTCATTAGCTCCACTTGGTGAATCAAAGACATTTTGATGATTCTGAGGAATTATCTCGTCTGAAATGCCTTGACAGCAATCAATTCTCATACAGGCTATCATATCATATACTTTGACAGAATTGTGAAAAAATCAGTGTTTTTACCCAATTCATTCAACTTTTGGCTGTCTTTTGGGCCAAAAGATTGGAGCCACCAAAGAGAAATACTTCCTTAGCCAGCTCGATGTGTTATGATTAGATTTCGGTAAACTACCTAGTAGCCACTGATACTCAAATAGTGCATAATCAGATAATGGTTCCAAGAGTTCACACCGAGCAAGAATTTCAGCAGGTGGCACATTAGCAACGAGGTTTGTGTCCAGCTTTGGTCTACCCTTACTAACCTCTTTCTGCTCTTTAAATGGTGCTTCCAGGGTAATTGGCGATGCACCTACAATTGCATCTTTCTTGAAAGGCAATGCTCTTTCGGGTTGTAAACAGAACTCTATCCACTGATACAAGGGTGGAGATGGTCCTCTGACTCGTCCCCCAATTTGATCAGTAGTAAGTCTTGAGGCAGCTGGTACTGCCTGCAATGTTTAATAAGAACAATTTGTAAGTTATGGGAATAAACCTGCTCTCACGAGGTTTTACTTATTTACTGGGATGATTGCACTATAATACTATAGAACTTGCAAATTCCTTGCCTGGTATTATCCCAGATATAACTGCCAGCTCTTTCTTGATCCATGAATTCTATGTAATGTTGGTCTTAAAATAAGTGAAAGTAACTTCCTAGTTCCTAAACACATTTGGATAACTAAATTTTTTCTTAGTTTTTAAGTAAAATGGCTACTTTTATTCTTGAACTCACTCTTAACCTAAATGCCAAATAACTAACTTCCATCTTTCTTCAATAAAAAATAAATATTTTTTTTCAAACATACTTATTTACTTATAAGTAGACTTCTTAAGTAGAGCCAATCAAAAAACATTCCTAGTCCTCACATATAATGCAGCAGGCAGCGAACAAAAAAGCGGGGGAAAAGAAAGAAAAAGGAATTACATCAACCTAGGATTAGATGTGCGCACCCATCTCAATTTTTAGAAAGATATCAGGTTCCCAAGGAAGAACACTCCTAGAAGTCCAGATGTGGTCGGTCATGACCGTAACACATCAACTCACTGATAAGTAACAAGTTCATATCCATTCCATTTGTTACCAACGGCATGAAGACACGACAGGGAACTAAATTGGGAATGAAAAGAGATCCAAAGATATGGAATGCATGGAAGCATTAGATAGAATATTCGTCACCTTAGACAGACTTATGATTCAATCAAGTATACAAAAAGAAATAATTTAACAAGATAGGACACGGCATTCAAGACGTACCCACAAGTCTGCCCATAAGCTAGCGCCAGACCTGGGAACAATCACTGCAACATTTGACATCCTTTTAGCTGCTGGAAGAACATCGCTACTCCATCCAACAGCTACCCATACATCTCCTACTCCAAAGGCTTTAAGATAGTGCAGACTATCAAATAGCCGAACCTGTACAAAGTCATTAAATAATTGATTGCAATTCAGAGAAAGAAAATTGTAAACCGTGGTAATAATAAAAAGTTTGATGAAAGGCAGAAGTATGAGAATAGGACCAGCCTATTATGGCACTAGTTAGAACTCCAAAACTGTTAAACGAACATATAAAAGTTACAAAACCCAGAAATGGTCATCAAAAGAGCCTTAAATTGTTAATCACTAACTTGAGTAGATGAACTTTTTCAATGATAACTATAAGTCTAGAATTTAAAAAACAAGAGCAGCAGAGAAAAACTCATAACTTAATCAATGCTAAACTTCAATTAAGTGAAGTATCTAAAAGACTGACAAAAACATATAAAAAAAGGTATAAGGATAAAGTGACATCAAGTGCTTCTTTGATATATGGTAGTACAACCTACCGGATAGTAAACTGAATAAGATTATAGCTTCTTTTTCTTTCTTAATACTGTCCACTACTATCTAATCAACGTTACTAGAGATGCCACAATACTCTTATTTAACAAATTTTTTCAAGACTACATTTCATTTATTTTACACTCTAAGCTACCTCGTAAATTGAAGGTAAACTTTTTGCTAGGTCTAGGTCACCTAAGAAAGGAACGAAGGCATCTTCTTCTTTTTTCTGCTGGGTAAAAATGAAGAAATTTTTAAATACGTTACCACCTGGCGTATCTCATACTTCAGGGACTTTTGCATTCCGGTTCTCTTACCTGTTGAACAAGTAATGCAAGCTTCTGCAGCACAGCGTGTTTCCCACCAACAACTTGCAAGTCAATGTTGATTGTATTATATGATGCTCCCATGCACTTCAACACTGCACCAACAATCTCTCGTGGTGAATCAACCATTGAAATTTTCCCAGCAAGTTCAGGCCGCCATAAATCTGCCCAGTCCTGCAATGCAACTTCATGCTCTTAGGCCTATAGAATACTATGTCAATGAAGGCTATTCATGAATAAGTAAACAGACGCTGCTTAGTGCTTGGTGCAATAGTTACACCAGCTCGCAAAGCAAAACTATATTAATATTATCAACAAAACTCGATTTGGTTTTGAATGCCTCTCCTCTCCAAACGAGAGTTAATTGCATTATATAGTGTGTGTTTCTGATTACAAGGCTCAATCTTAGCCATTACACTAATCACGCTAGTCATTACGCTAATCATGCTACAGTTACAATAATCACTCCTCTATAATTACAAAATTATGCCTAACTAGGAAATGGAAAAGAGGGGATAGGGGAATTTGTAATTAGGGAATCCGTCCATAATTAGATCCATATTGATATCCCCTCTCAAATTGATGCTGGTCGATCAAGAAGCATCAATTTGTTTACAAGAAATTGATAACGATTTCGGGTCAGTGATTTTGTAAAAATGTCAGCTTTCTGAAGAGCAGTGAAAATGTGAAGAAGAGAAATGACACGAGTATTCAAAGCTTCACAAATAGAATGACAGTCCACTTCAATATGCTTAGTGCGCTTATGGTAAACCGGATTAGCAGCAATCTGAATGGCACTTGTGTTGTCGACGTGGAGTGGAATGGAGTAGGACCAGACTAAGGAAAACTAAGTTCAGCAAGAAGCCCCCGAAGCCATATAATCTCGGAACAGGCAGCAGACATCGCCTGATATTCAGATTCGGTAGATGACTTAGAGACACGATCTTGCTTCTTACTTTTCCAAGATATCAGAAAATCACCAAGAAACGTGCACCATCCCGTGACAGAACGTCGGGTGTTTGGACAACTAGACCAATCCGCATCACTATAAGCAGTAAGAAAAAGAGAAGAGACGACAGGAAAGAACAAACCACAGTTAGATGTGCCTCAAAGATAGCGAATGATACGACGAACGGCAGCTAGATGGAGATGACGTGGAGTGTGAATGAACTGGCTAATTTGCTGGACTGCGAAAGAAAGATCAGGCCTCATAATAGTCAAATAATTCAGGCTTCCCACCAGTTGACGAAACACGGTAGGATCAAAGAGAAGATCACCTTCTTCACAAAGATACTTTGCATTTACTTCTAGAGTATCCACAGTAGATGAATCCTGAAGACCCGCCAACTTAATCAAATCTTGCGTGTATTTATGCTGATTCAGGAAAATACCAGAGGAATGTGTGTGAACTTCCAGCCCTAGGAAGTACGTAAGAGATCCAAGATCATTCATATGAAAAGAGGACTCAAGATGCTGCTGTAGATGAGTAATCAAAGAGGAATCCGTCCCAATAATTACAATATCATTAACATAGATGAGGAGAAGAACAATACCGATAGAGTTCTTGCAAAGGAACAAGGAAGAGTCATACTAGCTCTGTTGAAATGAAAAATGAAGTAAGGTAGATCGGAACTTATCAAACTATGCTCGTGGAGCCTATTTCAACCCATATAATGAGCACTTCAACTTACAAACTTTTGAGGAAGAGCTAGAGGTTAAGCCTGGAGGTAGTGTCATGTAAACTTCTTCTTTGAGATTTCCATGGAGAAAGGCATTTTTTACATCCATTTGTTGGAGCGACCAACCTTGAGAAGCAGCAATAGAAATAACCATTCGCATGGTGGTCATCTTGGCTACTGGAGCAAAAGTCTCCTCATAATCAACACCATATTCCCATCTGTTACCAAGAGCAACCAATCGTGCCTTATATCTATCCAAAGTCCCATCAAACCATAATTTGATTGAATAAACTCATTTGCAATCAATGACCTTAACATTCTCAGGACAAGGAACAACATCCCAAGTGTCATTATCTTTAAGTGCACGAAGTTCGTCTGCCATCGCCTCTCGCCAGCATTCATGTTTTACTGCTTCAGAATACCCTGTAGGTATGGGAATAGATGACAAAGTAGCATGAAGATATGTATGAGAAAATCCATATCGATCAGGAGGACGAGAATTTTTGGTGGAACGGCGAATATTAGTGTCCAAGTCCAGCTCATTCATGGAAGGTTGTGTCTGTGCAGCCTCAGATGGCAGGTCTGGTACACGGAGGGGCAAAGTTGGGCGTCGTCATTCATACACGAATCTAGACTTGAACCGTTTAGGGATAGAGGACAACTCATCAAAGTGTGGAAGGGCAGGTGTCTTCGATAAAGGCTCAACATGAGTAGGAAAGAAATATTGATTTTCGAAGAAAACAACATGACGAGAGATACGAAATCTATTGGAGCATGGATCTTAGCAAACATATCCTTTATGAGAAACACTTTAACCCATAAACGCGCATTTAACAGATTGAGCGAAAAGTTTGTTTTGTTCATGAGGAGGTAAATGAACAAAACAAATACATCCAAAGTATGCATGTCAAGGTAGTTTGGGTGTTGATGATGCAGACGATAATAAGGAGTTTCAAATTTCAGAACACTTGAAGGTAATCGGTTAATCAAATAGACCGCCGTGGATAAAGCCTCGACCCAGAATTTAGGTGGAACTGAGGATTCTAGTAGTAATGTACGAACAACATCTAACAGATGACGATTCTTACGTTTAGCAACACCATTTTGCTCGGGTGTATAGGGACAAGAATGTTGGGAGACAATGCCCTTTTGGTGAAGGAAATCATGAAATTTTAGAGACATATACTCTCCTCTCGAATCAGACCTTAATATTTTAATACTCGAAGAAAATTGAGTTTCAACATAAGCAATAAATTGTTGAAAAATAGAAAACACTTCAGATTTAGAACGAAGAAAATTGATCTTTATTACCCAACAAGCCAGAGTTTATTAAATGAGATAAAACAGAGTTAGGATGACCCAAACGTTTGTGCCAGATTTCACTCTTGTTGTTAACTTTATTACTAGTCATAGAAATAACTGGTGGAATGGAAAATAACAGAGGAAACAATCGACCAAATTTAGGCCCCTTCACGAGTATCTTCCCCGACACCTGATCCTGCACAATACAGTCATCACGAGAAAATCGAACATCACAGTCATTATCAACCAGCCAACCAACAGATATAAGAGTAGTAGAAAGTGCAGGAGATACGAGAACATCTTTCATGGTGGAGTTAATGTCTCCAACGGCATAAATAGGTAATTGACTACCATTAGCAGTTTGAATGTACAAGGATCGCTTATATGTTCGAATATTGCTAAGAGTATCAGCAAAACTAGTCATATGATTAGATGCACCAGAATTAACAAGCCATGACGATGATGGTAGAGAACCCTTACCTTGAAGGCCCAAGGACGAGAAGGCTGAAATAATCATCTGCTGAACCATCTCAGGAGTAAGGACAGATGAGTTACTAGCAGGGGAAGTACTAACTGTAGCCTGATACACATTAGCCTGACGGTTCTGAGGACGAGTGGTGCATTCTTTAATTGTATTACCCTGATTTCTTGCAATGGTTACAATATTTCTTTCCACAGTGAACATATGTCCATATTCCTTGCAGCTAAATCATTGTACCTTTCGCATGTCTCTACCCCTACCAATCCCTTGAGCAGCATAGGCAACTGCATTAATTGGTGGTTTGTCTTGCTGGTAATTGGCCTGTGTAGCAAGACGTTGTTCCTCCCGAAGTAACTCTCCGAAGCATAAGTCCAAAGAAGGAGTTGGATCGCAATTCATCAAACTAGATCCAGTTGCCTCGAACTCAAGCCGCAACTTCATTATGAACTGATCTCTCTTGCTCTGCTCATGTACTTTTTGAACTGCACCAAGAGAGGCATCTGGTACCTTAGAATAAATCATATCGGTTTAGAACAAATCATATCGGTATATTCTGCCCACAAGATTTGAAACCCAGAACAATACTCTTGAATGGATTTATCGGCTTAAGAATAACTAGTAATTTCCGACTCCATTTGAAATCGTCGTGCTGTATTGTCCTGGTGTAAACTTTCTTCAAATATTCCCACATACTCTTAACAGTCTTGTACAGCCTTAGATTTAGAACAGTCATAGGGTCAATAGATGCTAAAATACTAGTCATAACTCGAACATCTTTAATTTTCCAATTTGTTAATTCTTTAGGATCCGTGGGGGCAAAATCATTACCATCAATATGACCCCACAATTCCTTCCCAATAACGAATAAACGAAATTGAAATTCCCAGGCAGAATAATTTTTTCCAGTGAATTTCACACCAAAAAAATTCTGAATTTCCAGTAGACATAATTTAAAAAATAACACACAAGCCCAACAGATATTAATTAGTAGCAATAAGTTCAATACCTCGAGCCCAATTTAGTTTGGCCAAGAGAAACACCCAATTAGAGGACCACTTCAACCAACTGGTTTGGCTCAAATAGAAATAAAGTCTAATTGGTAATATATTTCACCCAAGCCCTAACAATCAACCACGAAGGAAGACAGGAATGAAGGTGCCGAGATTGTCGATTCGCTGTCCCTCCTTCTCGACACCAGAGAACTCCGACCAAACCTAAGACCTACCGACAGCAAAAGTCGTCTCACCGGAGCCCATCCACCGAAACTGGAAATAGGAGTGACCGTCACCAACCACAAGTCTCTCCAACACAATTAGCCGGAGTCAACGACACAGAGATGGGCGGAATTCATGTTGAGTTCACCCCCAACAACTCCTTCACAAAGACTGCACAGAAATTTGACGGCTACCACAGTGAGTGATCCGCCAGGTGAGTCCCAAAAACGATTTTGAGCCTTACAGTCAAGCCCAAAACAATAAAAAATACCAGGAAAATCTTCTTTTTGAGTGAAGGCTCTGATACCATATCAACAAAACTCGATTTGGTTTTGAATGCCTTTCCAAACGAGAGTTACTTGCATTATATAGTGTGTGTTTCTGATTATAAGACTCAATCTTAGCAATTACACTAATCACGCTAGTCATTACACTAATCATGATACGGTTACAATAATCACTCCTCTATCATTACAAAATCATGCCTAACTAGGAAATGGAAAAGAGAGGGGAAAGGGGAATCTGTAATTAGGGAATCCATCCATAATTAGATCCATATTGATAAATATAAATAACCAATTTACAGCTAGTGTCAGAGTCCAAACTCAGATCCAATAAAGACCTAATTTTAACTACAGAAAAAATTCCAACGTACAAAATAGAATAATATTAAACAAAAGATAGGAAGAAAAAGGAAGTAGTCATTGAATTTTTTTCTCAAATTTTAGCACCATTCACAGCCAGAGAAAGAATCTAATTAACCTAAATTAAGATAATTTAAGAACATATTTTACTTCAACTCGACATCTTTGACACTTTATTAGATTATTAGAAGACCTTCTTCATTATTTTTCTTTAGGATACACAACAAAATTACAGTAGCACGGCACCAAGGGAGTGCAAAGCATTTAGCCATTTACGAAAGCTAAACAACAAGACCAAAAGTTATGCATGACAAAGGAACAACGGAGAAGATCCATTAGCAGTTCTGAACATAGAATTCCAGATTAACCACGGATGAAGCTCTATGCAAGATAGTACACCAGTCAAAGCCAATATTCCAATTTTTTAAATGATGCATTGGAGCTCCTCCATCACTAAGGTAGGATGAGCTCCAAAAAAATGTTCCTAAGAGCCAGTGTCAGACTCCACCATGGTTTGAAAAAATTGGTAAAGCAGCGAGGTGCTGATTAATTGCGTGAAGGTATTAATTTAAAAGCCCTTTTGCAGGGCAGATGCCTCAGACCTTGAGAGGCGAGAGCTCCAATTTGAAACAGCTAGCCCTGTACATGTTTCTCATTTTTCATGGACCACAAAAACTAAGAGACTTGTTTTAAATTTTAATAATAGTAGGGCACTGCCACCAAAATCATATAAATATAATAATTGTTTGGCATACTGGCCAGCCAGTGGAATAATATTACAATAAAAAGGCTTAACAGCCTTCTACCAATAGGATCTTCGAAATCATCATATCTAATTCAAGTATTTCATAATTGTCAAATTGAAATTTGTTGTTATTCATTTATTTATAAAATTATAATAACATATGATTTGTTTGAACTTTCAGACAAAGGAAAGACATCATTGCAACCGTGGATGAGGAAGAATTTGATATGATGATGCTTCACTTGAAGATCCTATAGGTCGTGATAATAGTGGTGACTTTTAAGCTTTTTTGTATCGGTAACATTTAATTTTTGTGTGACGATTTCATTGCAAAAGGATTATTTATTTTTTTGTTAATTTATTGATTTATTTTGGTGTTTGTTCTATTAAAAATTTTCAAGATTGTTTATCATTTAGTTTTTTGACTAAATTTTTTCATTTGTAGTGAGGTTTACACCTTGCCTCATGAGTTAAAAAAGCAGTAGTACCCAATTATGCCATTTTAAACCTTGGATACCACTGATGATGGTAACATTTAATTTTTGTGTGACGATTTCATTGCAAAAGGATTATTTATTTTTTGTTAATTATTGATTTATTTTGGTGCTTGTTCTATTAAAAATTTTCAAGATTGTTTATCATTTAGTTTTTTGACTAAATTTCTTCATTTGTAGTGAGGTTTACACCTTGCCTCATGAGTTAAAAAAGCAGTAGTACCCAATTATGCCATTTTAAACCTTGGATACCACTGATGATGAGATAGCTACTAAGAATGTTGTTTAGTTGTAATTTATCTAATATACTCATGGCATCAAAGAGGTCAGAGTAGAAGAATCAAAGGAAAAGTTTAGCATGCCAAAAAACTCTATTGCCCTCAAATACAAGCCAATGACCAATACATTCAGCAACGTGTATTTAATCTTCAGCAATATCACAATACCGTATAAAATGATCACAAAGGATACAGCATCACCCACCTTATCTCTCATTTAATTCTATGAAGTTTTGACATTAATGGCTTTAAAAAATAAATCACCTCGATAGGAGCCAGATTATGCTTTCGGAATTCCTTTTTGTTGTAAGCTATCACCATGCTCCCCCAACGATACGGCGCAGCCCATATTCTACCTTGAGAATCTAACTTTCCCTCACAGCTCCTGCGTAGATATACCTGACATTATTCCAAATAAAACGATACTAAAATTCAATGTAAGTCAAACGGGTGCTACAAAGGGAATAGGGGGAAGAAAACAGAACTATACTAACAACTGTGCAGTTTCATATAGAACCAGTGCAACATGAACCAAGACATGCCATTAGCTTTGGCAGCATGTTCAAATAACATATTGTCAAGTTCAACAATGAAAGGTATGCAACAAGTATGGTAAATGCATGCTTTTCCTTCTCTAATTTCTTTTGTATCTTTTATTTTAGGTATTTTGGGAGGTGGTTTGAGTTTCAGAAAATGCCAGCCATATTACATATGTTTAATCACTTTTGGTACTCATGTACGTGACCTATTATGTTTTACAAGCTACATATAAATAATAAAAAGTAATCATGAAATCTACAAGTAATGTTTATAATCCTGATATTTAGGGTTATAAAATGAATTATAGATATGAAATGCAAAAGTAAGAATTTAACAAATGAGATAATCCTAGTGAAGTGCAAATTATAAGCCTTACGCAGTGTATAACAAAATAATACCAAAGAAGCAGTCAATTTGTCAAGAAGTGGCAGAACATAAATACCTGAGATCAACTTTTGATCTTGAGCGGAAGACAAATAATGACAGGGGAAAAAAAAAAGAAAAAAAAAAAGCGATAATTGCATTCCCACCTTCCATTTGTCACTTAAGCCTTGAAACCAGTCTTGATCTTCTGCTCCTTCAATGGGCTCAATCAAACCCTTGTTGATGGCCAAACTTAACCATGAATCACCAAGAGTAATGGCATCTGCTGCCGCAGCAGATTTAGGATTAACTTTCCCTTTGTTGAATGGATTAGAAAGTTCATAAAAGATGTTATCCAGGCTTCGTCGAAACTGTGGACGTAACTTCACTCTCTTTCCTTGTGATTGCAAGAACTCCTGCAAGATGGGGATTATGTGTAAACTACACAAGCATATCCCAGGTTTTCAAGACAATAATGCAGCAGCAAGAATAATTGAAAAATAAAAGAGAACTTATTTTAGATGACGCTCAAATGGGATTCTGAATTAGTATCTTAACGTAATCATTTCTTTAACAATTTCCAATCTTGTTAACTAAAAGAACTGAAACTGATTTACACTGATGTCTACCTACCAAAACAGGCATAACAAAAACGAAAATAATAAAGAATTCAAATAAATTGTTAAAAACCCACAAACTCCTCAATTGAATGTTTCTCCTGTAATGTCCACAAAGAACGGTCAAGTAAATAACTGCAAACATAATTTGCATATAGACGCACCTTGAGCCATAAAGGAGGTAGTGAATTTTGCAAAGCCACAATCGTTAAAGGCACTGTCAAAGCATATGTTTTAGATTTCCACTGCTCAAATGCCGCTTTCTTTTCCTCATCTTCAAAGTCCTCCGCATTTCCAGATTTCCCCACGCCATCACTGTCTGTATATCTAGAAAAATTATTATTTACACACACATAATTTAGAAAAATTATTATTTACACACACATAATTTCGTTTCACTCTATCTACAACTATTACAGCAGAAAGTACAACACTTTAATGCACCTACTGTTCCTGTGCTTGGGACTAAAACAGCAGTTTACTTCTAAAATATCTCTAAGCCAGAGAACAAGCACTAGTTTTTGCCATTAAGCACAACAACTACAATAAATTACCATCATACCATGAGTTTCTTGCTGGTCTTGAAGCTTGGCCACGGAGGACGGAGAGGTGGAAGGAGGAATGCGGGCCGAAGCTGAGGGCAGGGAAGCCCAAAATCCGTTTAGGCTCAGGCCCACGAAGAGAACGGAGGAAATAGTGATTTGCCGTATGATGTCTCCCGCCGGCGACCTGTTTACTGAGAGTTGTATGGATGGTTTGTGAGAGTAGTGGATTGTAAAACGGTTCGGGTTCGAATTCTGTCTAGAGTTCCGGTGCGGTGGCGTGTGGATTAGGCTGCGTAAAGAAGGGGAAAAAGAGGCCGACATTTTCCGCGGTCCCGCTCTTATGCGCGAGTGTGTGTTTTTACCCTTAAAACCTTAATAGAAAATTTTCAAAAACGCAAAAGTAACTTGGCTACAATTACTTGCAATCTCTTCATCAAATTACTCGTAATCGGGGAAATTAGTATCTAATTTCGGTAGAGTGATTCGTCAATGATGTAAAAAATTAAAATCCCTAGTGCCCAATTTGTCGTTATGAGATAGATGTTAATTATCTAAATTTGTTAATTGTTGATGATTTGAATCTTCTCACCTCTTCTTCGATATTTACGGTTGAATATCATAAAATCTACCCTACAAAACATGTTATAGATGAATGAACCAACACATCAGCTTCGATAATTTGAAAAATGCTTGTGACAAAATGCACAAGCGACAATATTTCATAGACTAGTAGTCCACCAGCCTCTGAAATGTTGAGACCTCTGCATTCCATCATCCAGGTGGTAAAATCTGGTGGTGTACATGTAGCATTTTTCATTTTATTCTCTGCTCATTTATTTTTCTTCTGCATATGATCAAATGTATGTACTTGCTTCATTTAACTTCTATGGTAGTTACAATCCATGCAGCGAACAAGAAGAAAATATTAAGACAAGAACTGTTTTTGGAAATTCACAGATAAAAGATAAATCAATTCTTCACCTCCCTGTAAATTTCTTAACATGGGACTTCGGGGGTAAGGAAATTTGATATTTACGATGGACAGTCGTCTTCAGATATTTTGCCAACTGGAATTTTCTCTATTTTCTCTACATAAGCTGAGGGGAACCATCCTGCCTTGCCGTTGCATTCTCCTTCCGACCATCCATTTGGAGCCATCTGTCCAATT